TCATGATTAAAATTGCGATTTAAATCACATGATTTTTAAGAAAAAAATCCTTGATCAATTGATTTTTTTTAAAGAAAATCATTGTTTTAAGCCGATTGGAATTTTTTAAAAATAAATCATGAAGTCGAAAATATTTGTATAAATATATTCTTTAGGGTGTGATTCTTTTTAAGTCCCCTTGCTGTTAGGATAACCATGGGAGGTTTTTTCCTTTCCATGTTACCAGGGTNTTTTTCCAGTATAAAAAAATTTCCCTGATAATTCCAGGTTTTCAAGGTTCTCCAGGTGGGTGGCCACCCTGGTTACGCAAATGAGGGTTAGTTCCGCCAAAAAGTCCTCCACGAAGGCAAATTACACCCCATACTCGGATCCAGGAGTTCCCTTGTCTTCTGGATTAGGTTCAAAATTACAAAGCTACGAAGTTGAACAATGCTAGTTGAACACTCAAAAATAGGTCGGCTGTTCAACGACGGTTATAATAAAATAAAATAAAGTATAGGTTAAAAACATATAAAAGGTAAAAACTAAATAAGGTGTAATTAGTAGCCGGGAAAAAAAATAACTAAGCATACACTCATATAAAAAAAGCCTGCAGTGACTTTTTCAGGAATTATATGGAGCATGAAAGGGAAATTTTTGAGTATAATATAATGAGCTGAGTAATAGGAGGAGGTTTCAAGCGCATCGAACAAAGCAAAATAAATGTTTCTTCCGTTCATTCAAGCAGTTACTGAGTGAGTAATAAGTATATTAATTAAAGGCATTGTTGGTAATCAAACGCGTAGGCAGTTCGAATCATTCGCATTTAGTAAAAAGGAGTGTCGCAATTTTATGTCACTTATTTCTCATCAATTTTAATTTCTGGACACATTGTGAAATATGGGACATAAACAATGCCATTAGAAAGGGCGCAACGACTTTTTTTAAGAAAAGAGCAGCAAAAAGTAATATTTTTTAGGTTTCGGGAGCCGCAACAAATTCAGATATAGAATCAATTCGTAATAACTTAATTATATCGTAGTGTTATAAGAACAATATCAGTTCATAGTTAAAATTAAAATACGAAGTAAATAGAAAAGTATAATGTTAATAAAAGTTTTGCAAAGTATCATCAAAAATTTTAAAAAACTATTTTTAATCAAGTGTTTTTTAACTCACTCCTTGAAAAGAATTATTCAACTTAATTTTTTTTAAACAAAAAAAGCTCTGCGATGTATTGTTTTATTTAAAAAAAAATTAATAAAAATAAAATTTCGAAAGTTCATTTGAATATTCAATTTTAACAAATAGAGTCAGGCTTTTGTATTTCGGAATTTTTAATTTTTATGTTAATTTCATTGTTTTTTCATCAAACTTTTTTGAATGGATTTTAAAAAAACATTTATAAAATTTTTTAAGTTAGTTCTTTCCAATTATTTTTGTCAGAAAGATGGGGAGCCACCTATTTATCACTCTAACACCATATTAGGTCGAGATCTGCAGATCGTGCACCGCTATTACGTTTCATTTATTTATCTACTTTTTCTTTATTTTCCATTTCTATTTTATTTCTTTTCATTTAAAGAAGTTAATTTTTCTATTATATCGCAAAATAAACTATTTTTAAGTTTCAAAGCATAAAATTTTTTTTTTTTTAAATACGAGTCACCTAATATTTTTTATAATAGCGATATGATAATGCCTAAAGCAGTTTCTCGAAGTGCCAAAGTCATCAATTTATCTGTCGAAATCAGAAAATTGCAAAACATAATGTGAAACTGCCAATCCATACTTAAAGATCAAGGATAAGTAAAAAAAAAAAAAAAAAAGGTNAAGTAAAAAAAAAAAAAAAAGTACGAGTTTAAAAGTGTCAAATTAATTAAATCCACGAATTAGGTGTTATTATTGGCTTCAAAACAAAATTTCTAGTCGAAAATTACTCTAAAAAGAAAAGTCTCACAAATAACAAGCATGTCACATAAGAACATATGTTTAGAGCTTAACTATTTATAGTCACTACACTGCAGACATTAAATTATTTATAACTAGCGATTTCATATGTTGCTAATATTTTTGTTTCTTTACGCAGGCACTAATACATGTTTAATGTTTAATTAATTAAGGCTTTTATAAAATTTGCTTTTCAAATTTGGTTTTAAACATAAAATTATTCGTCATTTTTAAGAAATGGTATTCATTTAAATAATGGGAGGTTTTTTTTGACGGTACCTTCAGAACATTTGTAATAACCATATAAAGTTTTGTTGCAGAACAATGCAATAAATTCTGTTCTGGTGGAAAAAATATGAGTCAAGATGAAGAACTATTAACTCTGGTTAAAATTTTTATTTATGCACTAAATTAACGAGCGTGAATAAAATAATTTGTTACAATCTTAATTTTAACTAAACGTCAAAAAATAATTTATTAATAAATTTTCTTAAATATTACGTAAGCAGTAAAAATAAACTCTATTTGATTGTAATGGGTAACCTGTAAATTACATCAACGAAGTGATTCAGGTAGGAAGGTATTCAAAGAGAAGAAAATAAAGTTGTTTCCAAATTCATTGCCAAATGGTTGTTTATTCTACAGTGTGGACTGTGAAAATGTGACAGAAAGAGCGTTGTAGACGATTGATCGCCCGTTAATGGGTGCCAAATGCGAAATAGCTTTTGTTGCCTAACAATTTTTTTTCTTCTTCCTTTTTTTTTTTCTAAGTGAACGGGAAGATTTTATCACGCAAGGTGTGGGTTTAAATGCAATAATCTATATTTTACAATAGTATTTTTTGCAAAAAAGATAAATATAAAACCATGACTCGATCATTACCGAACTTTGTCTTTGTTACGATAATGATGCGATATTTAACCCTTCGAAGCAGAATTTTTATTAAAAATAACATTGGTATTAATTTATGTCAAAATAAGTAAAAAAAAAAAATTTTTTTTTTGGTGTTTTAATATTTTACGGTTAAAAAATACAGCATGAAACACTGGTGTCTTTTTCTGAGTTAAAGGTAAAATCTTTATAACTATAATTTTTCCAACTTGCAGTTGTTCAGATATATGAGAAATAATTATTCATCATCAAAATTTTGTTAATTTACAAAATTAATTATTCATAAATTTTTGAATGTAAGTGAGAAAAAACTTTTTGAAACTATTTTTTTCTGTTTTTTTTCCTCTTTTTTTTCTTTGATTTCATATTTTAGTACAATTATAATTTCGATAATCTAACAGATTTTTTAGTAACTATTACTCAGTTCTTCATAATTAAAAAATGCCAAAATATATTAAATACATTTAATAAAAATGATTAATGAAATATAATTACAATGAACCCAATGCTTANTTGGTAAAAAATGTATTAAGACAAAAATGTATTATTAGTGAGTTCGAAATGAAAATTGAAAAACGTAATAAAAAAATCCAACTTTTTTTATTTGAAATGTATTAAATAAATGAATAAAACTCGAAAATGAATGAAAATAACTTGCTAATTAATATTTTTATTAATTTTGCAAAATAATTGCATTTCGAAAGTGGTGTCACTGAGTCTGCTGCGAGAATTTCTCAGAACGTGCTTAGCTCCGCTGAATAAGCGCTCAACGGGAGCACTAGAAGGAACTGCAGTATTATATTTCACATATAATTTTTTTACGATTGGATATCGGTTGGATTTTTTTTTAGAAAGCTTACCGAGTTTTAGAAAAAAGTAACGATTTCATTCGACATTTCCGTTACAAATACTTGTACTTTTTCCCTAAAAAAGTAACGAAAGTACAAGTAAAAGTACTAGATTTAAAAAGTAACAAAGTACAAGTAAAAGTACGTAATTTTTACTTGTACCGGCGGTACAAGTAACGAAAGTAAAAGTACTTCCATACATGGTAACTATTACTCAGTTCTTTATAATTAAAAAATGCCAAAATATATTAAATACATTTAATAAAAATGATTAATGAAATATAATTACAATAAACCCAATGCTTAAGGCACGGAACTGTCAATTGTGGAGGGTTGAAATGCTGACCATATTGCCATTATCATACTGTCAATAGTCTAGAAGTTGAGCCTTTACATCCATGACCCCTTTAATCCATAACTTTTGAATTACATAATAACTTGTGAATTGTGGAATAACATAATTACATTGCTTACATAACTACTTTAAAAATCCTGCTAATAGCAAAATTTTAAGATTTTTTTTTTTCTTTTTGATTCAGTCCCTTATTTCCAACGTTTCATAATACACTGAGCCGTTCATTAGCTAATATAGCAATAATTTTCACAATGATATTCTGTGAAAGTTTTAACATTGATTTAAAACTGAAGTATAATTATATTACAGATCGCCAAAATATAAAAATACGAATCGCTAAAAATAGCAAACCAAAGCAAAAGGTTTGCGTTATGGTAACATAACTTTGCAAAAATGGGATAAAATTATTTTATGTATAAAAAAATGAATGCATAAATGTCATTAGTCCATCTATTAAAGAGTGATTTAAGAGCTCTTCATAATCTTAAATTTTTAATATGCATTGCCTGTATGGCCACGAAGTAAATCCGAAGATGAAATTTATAAAATAAAAATGAACGTTTTTGCGTATTGCCTGTTTTTTTTTTAATTTCCGATCACACACATGTTTGAAAAGACTTTAAATCATTCCCTTATTCCCAATATTTCATAATACACTGAAAAGTTCGTTTTCGTAAAAAATTTTATACTGATATTCTGCGGAAGTTTAAAAAAATTGATACAAGCTAACAATTTCCTTTTCATGAGCACAAACGTTCATTTTAATATTAAAAATTTTATGTTTTAATTCATGTCACCTCTTTTCTTTGTCTGGCAGTTAATTTTAAAATCTATTAAGACCCCAAGTAAAAATAATAGTATTTTTAATTAGCATTATTGAAGAAAAAAATGATGAAAAGAAAAAATGAAAATAAAGCAATTATTCTTTATAAAAAAAATAATAATGATTTTTGCATGCATAATTTATAAAAACAAACCTTTGTAATGATCTTGACCGTCCATTGTTGTTCTCATGATGTCCATTAGTTGTTGCTCTAATGGGTGCCGTAGGTTGTCAAGGGGACTGCTTAAGTTACTTGAAATTTGACGGTCCTGCAAAACACATACAATCTAAGTGACTTGGACTTCATCCAATAAAAACAAAAAATTACATTTAAAGCAATACATGCATCTATTGCATGACGTAGCGCTAAATATCAAGAGACCATTCTAATCGTGCGTAGCATATCACCGCTACATCAACATTTAGTTAGTATAAAAAAAAAACACAAAAAAAAAAAAAACACAAAAAATGTAACTTAAAATCTAAGAGGTTAAAATTAAGGGTTAACATAGACATAACTAGAATTCTTTCAGCTAACTATCATATATAATTCATGCAATTTTTAGCATAATACAAAATTTATAACTGTTAATATATAACAATAGATTTCTTTATACCATATGGCACAATACGTAAAATAAATGAAAGAACTACGAAATTATTATTAACTTTAAAAAAAAGTATTAAACTGGCCTTATTAAGTATTTTTCAGGCATTAACTATTCCAAATGCACGTTAAATTAAATTTGAAAATAAATGCAAGCCAATGTCTAATAACGAACCTTTCTTCCGTAAACAAATAAAATATTTCAGCCCTTTCAGTTAGGAAATTTAATTAAAAAAGAAGTCAACTTTTCCTGGGCACATATTCACTCTTTTTAAGAATAAAAGAAAACAAAGTTGAAATTGCATAACTCAAAATTGCGCAACGGACTTTTTAGAACTGCTTCCAAGAATCAAGAACATGAATAATTATTTATTTTCAGTAACTAAAAAACATAGTTTTTAATAAGAGTTGCGAAGTTAGCGGATGTTTTGCGTTTTAATTTATACATATAAAATACGTTTAAATATATTGTAATATTTTTAAAGATAAACAGGTGTTTCGAAACTCATATAGTTATGCAAAATAAAGAATATTAAGTTTGTAATCATTAAAGAACAAACTTGCATAATTGTCACTTTCTAAATAAATTTTAAAAAATGCTTGATAATTTTAATAATGTATTAAATAAGTCACAGAATGAAATTTGAAAATTGAGTCTCAGAATAAAAATTTGGTCTGCGCGCTCTCTCCCTTTCTGAAGTAATTTGGTGCGAATTTATTTAATAATAATAATTTCATTCAGTCTAAGTTAAAACAGATTTCAAACGCATCGTTGGTGGGGTAGCAGACCAATATTTTACATGGCCCCTCTCTGGTGTAAATTAATGTGCGATTTAATTAAGGCTATTTTTCGAAGGCTCCGTCGTAATATGAAATGATACTTTATTGCGAATAATATGCTATTTTCATAACTGCTGTAAGTTTGCAACTGTTACTTATGACCGTCAGGTCAAGTTTAGCCTATCTAAAGTCAACGCTGTCTACGCCTATTTTGAAAATGCCACAAAACGTCAATATGGAAAAAGCCCACAATTTTGCAAAAATGAAAAGCATTTGATGTCAAATTTTTTAAAATTTTAAAACTTACTCCAATGCTTCATTACTTAGGTTCATAAAAATTTGCAAAAACTAAGAATAAGACAGGGATTTTGATAATTTTCCTCTAGGTTTCCACCTATGAAATTTAAATGTCGCCAAATTGGCTATTTTAAAAAAAGTTCAACACAACTACGGAAAACAGCGTTAATGTTATAATAATAATTTTGATGATTTTAACTTTGCATACACTATTGTTCTAGTATGTTTTTTAAAATGTTTGTAAAACTTTGCGTAATGCACCTCAGTCAGGCCTACAGACCAACAATATTTTATATTAGGCTACAGAATCTAGATTCTCAATACGAAGTTATTCTTTAAAAATACATTTGAAAGATTATTTTGAGTATGTGAAGTTGCTTCTTGAATCAGCGTGATATTTGTCAAGTACCTAAATTAATGCGCTTTTATTTATCATAAATTCAAAAATTCATTATGAATGATTGAACCTTTTGTAATCATGATTTCATAACTTACTTTCATTATTAAGAAAACTCAATTTTGAAACAAACGTTGAAGCAATGCGATGATTTTAAACTATATATAATTTAACAGTGAACAATTATCAGGGCTTTAAAAGAGACAAATAACTTAAATATTTAAAAAGTTATTAAACTTTTTTTTAAAAAAAATCGCATTATTGGCGACGTTTTTCCATCTAGATGAAAATTATCAAAAATCACTGCCTTATTCTCAGTTTTTGCAAATTTTTATGACTCCAAGTAATACAGCATTGGAGTAAGTTTTTAAATATTACGAACGCTATTTATTTTCACAAAACTGTGGATTTTCTCCATATTAACATTTTGCGCCATTTTCAAACTAAGCGCAGACAGTGCTGGCTTTAGATAGGCTAATCTTGACCTAATAGTCATGAATAGCAGTTGCAAACTCAAAGCTGTTATAAAAATTGCATATTATTCGCTAAAAAAGTCTTAAATTCTTATAAATTAACTATGAATGAGTGGATGTCCATAATCATTATTTTGTAATTTACTTTCATTATTACGAAGACTCAGTTTCAAGACAAAGTCTAAATGACGCAATGTAGGTCAAATGAAGGCGATCCAAAAATTTCAAAGTCCCACAAATTTAATGCGCAAGTGTAGAATAATTTATTATATTGCTGCATTTCTATAAGAGAGAAGGAAAGTTGCTGGCTCTCTGCCAAGACATGAATGCCGTTCCCACAATTAATGAAAATGCCGCAGTAGACTTGAACATTGAAAAAATAAACACCCTGAAAACCTTGCAAAATCCTTTAAAAAACAAGTCTTTGAATTGAATCTCTAAATTTGTAGGGAATCACGTGTTCGATCGACCCGAAGTCTTACCTATCCCAGAATTCGCGAGGCGCAACCCTTTTTCTGAAACGACGTCGAGAGCTGAGTTCTAAAAATAGAACTCACCTTAACATTCCTTCATACATTCAGACATAAAAGCAGGGATCTCCGTTTTCGGGTGAAAGTGGGATGCGGAGGGATCACGGTTAGCAGTTATAGGAGAGCATTATCCTACAGGAAGAGGGAAGGATATTTATACGCTGTCGTCAGACCTTTGCAGTTTATTTTCAAATTTTGTCTTTGAATGAATTGTGACGACATTTCTATTAAAAGATTTAAAGTTAAAAGGCAGCTAGGTCATATTATAGAAAATTGTTTGCTTATTGAATAAAAAGTAACTAACAAGTTAAAACATTTCCAAGCCACTTACAAGAATTATTTTTCTTCCATATTTTTAGGCATTGTAGTACAATGCAGCTTAAAACATTTACAATTCATTATATGTCACATAAATCATTAAAATTAAATATAAATGCATTTATTTCAACATAATTTGGATTAAGTGTAAAAACATTTGTAATAAATCGTTGTAATATTTTAGGGCTTCAGTTTTAAGAGTAAAACATGTTTTAATATGGAAATTACACTAATTTTTAGTTAAGAAACGTTGGAAATTGCATTGAGCATATACATCTTTAAGTAATTTCCACAAGTAAAAAACTAAGTTTAAAACAAATAACTAATATTATTTTCAGATACATAAGCAGTAAAAATGTGAAAAAGTATTTCAACGTCTCACCAGACGTCTTTCAAATATATATATTTTTCTTTAATTTTTCACTAATTTTTTTAAGTAACTATTATTATACTAATATTATTTTTTATATTTGCCATAATTTTTAGTTTACTAATTACTTCTTTAATATTTATTAGTTGAAGTTAAAATAAAAACTTTAAAAACATTGTTAAATGATCCACTCAAATTATATATGTCAAAATAATTTAAAGCAACAAATAACTGCAAAGGAAAAAAAACAAATCACAGCCTATGTTTGAATAATCAACTACAAATTGATGTACGAAATATACAGTTATGCATGGAAAAAATGAGTCATAAAAATGTCCGCTCAGTTAGATAATAAAAAAATTAAAGTGAAAAATTAAAAATTAAATTAATGAAAAATTAATATAAAATTAATTTTTAAATTTAATATAAATAATTTTTTGAAAAATTAAGTTAATACATTGTTGTGAGGAAACATAAAAAGATGTTTTTTTCTTACACCTTGCCTGACTATGAAATGCCGAGAACATTTAAACAAAGTTTAACTAATAGCATTAAACATAGTTCATTTTAGTACTATCTATTATTATTATTGCGGTAGCGCTTCGCGCTGTCGTGCCACAGGTCCCTGGTTCGATCCTCGGGCCGGGCAAGGTTCACTCAGCCTTTCATCCCTTCAGTGGGTCGATAAAATGAGTACCAAGCATGCTTGGGAACTAACACTGGGGGTTCCGCGTTCGGCTGACCACCTGACCGGAACATATGCTCCTGCACCCCAGAGCCCAAGGTCAAGAAAACTGAGATGGGCACAGTCGGCCTTGGCCCTCTTAATGGGCTGTCGCGCCACTGAGTTAGTTAGTTATTATTATTATTGCTTTAAAAAGGAATGCAAAATCTTCGCATTAACAGCTTAATCGGACCTTATAGTGTTATAAAAAAATAATAACATCCTCGAAATTTAATGATGCAGGAAATGATAATGATACCACAGCATTTCTTCAGAAGCAAAAAATAGGAATTCCAACAAAATTCTGCTCCAACAGAGTTAAATGTACTCCAAAATGGTTTAAGGTTCATTCTCCTGCACCTGTTTACAACAAAATGACCATATTATTCGCAAGACTTGAAACCAACGGATTTTAGCGTTTAATCCATCTTGAAGAGTTTTGTATCCCTAAAAATTACTTGCTTGTGTGAAGTAAATTGACTTTTAATACTTTTCTTTAAAAAAATCGAAATAATTTTAGTATTTTTTAATAATTTTAATTTATGTCTTTAATAAGTTCAACTACGGCATTAAGTTTTAAAAAAATAAATCATTTCAATTATTATTTTTCTTTATGTATCGTTGGAGATATTTAATACTTGGACGAATTATCAGTAGGTAGGGGAGATTGGGGTCAATTGTAACAGGGTACGATTGTAACAGAGCAAAAATTTCGAGTGTCGGGTTCTAGATTTGGTTCCTAGGTGGCGATCAAGGTATATGTAATAAATCTA